CAGGTGAGCAGTGTGGCTGCAGGTGGACTTGGGGGTGCAGCTGTAGACTGGCTGGGAGCAGGTGTGCCCTCTCGGAGCACATCCCGGGGCCGGCTCCAGCGGCTCAGCTCATGGTCTCCTTCCTGGCAGCCAGAGCACCTGGGCCAGTGACGAGTGGTCCAGAGAGGCTGCCAAGAACCCGGGCAGGCCCGGCATTCACTGAGCACTTGAACCTGAGGTGCTCTTAGTCTCGCTGTACAGAGGAGGGGGACCCAGGCTCAGGTAACATGCCTACTTCTTGGAGAAAGTTGGGATTTTTATTGTTTTTTAAATTATTAACTAGGTTTCTTTTTAATTGACAAAGCAATCCAACTTCTTAGTTTAAAATGCAGACCAAGAACACTTTAGAATGAAAAGCATTCTGCCCCCGGAGTGTGGTCCTAGAACGCCCTTTCCAGGGCATCTGGCCAGCAGCCAGCTACCAGTCGCTGCCTCTTGCAGAGCCTGGTGCCAGGCCCTCCCTAAGCGGGTGGTCATGAGTCCCTGGAGCTGGTGGCGGAGAAGGGGCGGAAGGCGCCCGCGTGTTCCCTTAGGCAGTTCTCAGACTGTGTGGGGCTTGGATGGTACCAGTAGAGTAAGCCCATTGCTTCGCATTTTGAAAGGGACACCACCGTTTTGTTAAGGACCTTTATTTTGCAGTATCTAGCTGTCCTATCCTTCCTACCCGCACCTCTCCCCCATACCTGGGGGAACCTGGTTCCAGGCATCTCCAGGGAATGCGTGTGCCCGGGGTGGCTGCTTCCTCCCCTGCTCTGGCCAGGACTGAGGAAAAAGATAGGGCCTTACTTTCTGACAATGGTGTGTGAGACACGGTAAAGGCTGATGTGTACGTGACGTGGCCGTGGACATGACAGGTACAGCAGGGTCTCCGCCTCGGCGTGATGTTGCTGGGCCAAAGGATGGCTCCGTGTCTGTGACCCGACACTCTCAGGTTAGGACTTTCTCTTTATCGCTGATATCAGAGCTCTTTCCTCTGGCCTTGACCCCATTGGAGCCTGGGATCGTGTACCATCATCTGCATGCCTGTCGTAGCCCATCTCTGGCTCCCAAGGTTAAATACTGATGCATCCCCCCTCTCCCACCACCCAGCGCCCACCCAGCCCCACCCTTCCCGTGTCCAGCCTAGGCAGCCTGTCTCCTTCCACGTCTCTGTGGAAGGTTGCAATGCAAACAACCTCTCTTCAAGGCACCAACAAGCTTTTGTCCCAAATACCTGGAAGATCCGAGCAGAAGAGGGAGGGCTGTGTTTATCTGGTGATAATTAAAATGCCGCCCTTAAAAGCAGTTTTTCTCTACGTTTGTCCTCCCCTGTTCACTCGCTATTCCTTGGTGGACACTCCTGCAAGGTCTCTCTGCTCCAAATGTTTTCCAAACTGCCGCATTTTATTTCAAAGCCTCAGCTCATGTGGTCTCTGCTAGGAGCTTGTCTCCCCCAGGAGACCCAGCCTGGTGGCTCAGATAAATGCCAGGGACGTTTTTCACCATCCAGAGCCAGTCTTGTCCCTCACATCTGCCTGTGGTCCTCTTACCACCTCCCCTGGCTCACTGAGACTAGAGATATACTCCATTTTCTCGCCTTTAAGCCCCCTTGGCAAGGAGAGGAGGGAGAATACTGGAAAGGAGATTTGGAATCTGTGGTCTCCTCACCTTGTCTGTGAAGGGCGCTGGGTCCAGTGCCCCCACTGTCATGTAGGTAATGGTTTTAGATGCACAGCCTTATCACAGACCTGGATAAGGCAGGGACGGAGGGTGGACAACTAATGAAGGAGACAGCACATAAACACAGAAGAGAGATACAGAGAAGACACTTCGGCTATCCAGCCTCCTGGACTCCCTGCCATTTATGGAAATCTCTGTGCTTCATCCGACCAGAGGCCTTTGGGTCTCCTCGATGTCATCCCTTCTGTCTGGGATCTCTTTGTTCCTGCTCACCCTGCCTCCTTTCAAAGACCTGGATAATGCAAGTCACACATTTTGTCCTCAGGGAAGCCTTCCCTTCCTGCCACATGAGGTCCCCCTGCCACACACTCCCCAACAGCCTATACTTGCCCTTCACTGTCTGTAGTTACAGTTTTTTGCTACCTGGGTATGGAATTAGTATCATCCCCGTTGACTGCAGGTTCCACAAAGGCAGGGACTGTATCTCAGAGACTGGACACTGCCTGCCAGCAGACGCTCAAAAGAAATATTTGTTGAATGAATGAATATTAATCATATAGAGATAATACAGGCACATTTATATGCTTTGGTCAGTCTAAGGTAAGGGAACGACATAAACCATTTTGCTTAGAAAGCACCTCACTTATCTGTGCAGTAATGCTGCACCACGATCTCATCTGATCCTCCTAGCAACCCTGTAGGGTAGAAGGTGGGAGTGGAATTTCCCCATTTTACAGAAAAGGAAATGGAAGCCCTGAGAGGTTAAGAGATGGGGCTAAAGTCACACAGCTCTCCACCTCCAAGCCCTGACTTTTCTCCTAGGCCAGACTGAGTCTGAGTGAGGGAGGAAGACTGACTTCTTCAGGAAAAGCCTCTGGAATGGGTTGATTTGGAGTAGCATTTTGGAGGTGAGAGGGCTGTGGATTAATATTAGCAAGCAGCGTGGGAGAAGAAGATGTGGATGTGGTCCTGGGTGCATGTGCAAGAGCCAGTGGCAGCCTTGAATGGTGGTAGAAAGGAAGCTCCTAATTCACTAGGAAGTTTTCTACTTGCATTGCAGCTTAAACCTCTTGCAAACTTTCAAGGGCAGTATCATCGTCCATGGTCTGCTATCGTGAAAATGAAGCTCTCCAAGGACACACGGAAGCCAGGGATGTCTATCCGGTCCCCAGATGGGGTATTGTTTAGAGGTGGATTAAGGGTTTCAGAGTGAAGTCTACACGGAAAGTGGTTTGGAGAGGATTCCTCACGTCTTGCTCATTAGTGACTGATAACTGGGAACAGTTGGGCTGGACCAGCCTCTGCTCTGCGGTTCATCCTGCTGAGTCCCACCTCCCAGGCCAATGCCAAGCCCCCTTGGCAATCCCACCATAGTGCAGCTCATCACAGACTCCTGGGAGCATCTCCTGGTGGTGAATCCTGAGGTGGAGGGCCCTTTGCCAGAGGACACTTCCAGACTGATCCCTCTGTTGCTCACCTCCCTGACTTGGCAAATGTGCAGATGGGCCCCAGACCCCTTACATTTAACTTGTCTTCTTCAATGTTGTGATGGTCATTGTAATCACACGCCAGCATTTCCTCGAGTGCCAGCTATGTGCTGGGTTCTGGGGTAGATAAGGCATGTGTAGAGAGAAGCGGTAAGAACGGGGGCCGGGAGCTGATGGCCTGCTCCCCGTGTTGGCCCTGGAGCCAAGCTGAGTGACTGGGCAAGTCTCCCTTAACCTGTCTACCTTTGGGTTCCATCTGCAGGGGGTGGGGAGCGAAGGAGATTATCTGTCTCACGGGGCTCTTTTGGGGAGCAGTGAATCCGAAATAGCACTTTGTACAGAGTAAGTAAATACTCAGTGAATATGGTATCTCCTGGAATGGCAGAATTTCAGAGCGTCAGAGAACCTTAGGGATCATCTAGCTGTGATCCCTCATCGTATAGAAGGTGAACTGGGGCTCAGAGGGTTGATTCCCAGAACCAGTGAACACCCACGTCCCTGCCTGCCAGGACAGAACCTCATCCTGGCATCGCACTATTTGCTGCCAGGGAGATAGGATATTCACACATGTTGCCCAACTGTGCAGGTCATGAAGGCGGCTTCTCCCTCAGGGAGCTCACAGGGCTGGGATGGCCCTGCTCCCCTGCCCTGGCCCCCCCGCCCCCCTGCACACTCTCTAGGCTGCTGGCTGCCGTGGGAGTTCTTCCCAGCCAGGGGGGCGGAACAGCAGAGCAGCCCGCATCCATTTGTCTTGAGGAGTAATCAAGATCTTGTTGCCCACAGCTGAGAGAAAACCTATAATTAATCTGGCTGCCTCTCTGATTTCCTCTGTCTTCCCTGCCACCAAACACCGACTGGTGACTGTCAGCCTTCCCTCTGACTCACCCCAGAAAATCATGATTAATGGTGTAATAGCCCTTTGAGGATGAGAGAGGCCAGCAGAGGGGCTGCTGACAAATCAGGAGAGAAGAGGTCATTCAGCACCCTGGGCCAGGGCGTCCAGACAGTGTGTTTTCCGCCTGAACACCGAACTGTCTGCAGGCTCTTCCTGTCTGTGCGTATTAACTGGTGCTGGTAGGGAATCAACAAACGTTTATTGAGCTTTCACTTAGTACAGGCACCATAGCAAGTGTGTCAGGGAGATACATGCCTGAAAGGGATGTTCCCCTGCCCCCAGGGCTTACAGTCTGGTTATGGAGAGAGGGTGTGAATAAGCACAAAGGTAAATAACCATGTTCATTCCTTCATACGGTCGAACAGTGTTTCCTCGTAGATGCATCGCACCAGGTACTATCCCAGGAACTGGATGAGTGACAGTAAGAGGGAGATGGCCCTGCCCTCATGGACCTTGTGTTCAAAATACAGAAGAAGGGTTGGAGATGCCTAGAGACATTAGAAGATTAGACATCTGCTAGCTTAAGGAAGCTGGCCAGTCTTGAGATTCTGAAAAAATGGAAATTAGATTCCCCTTCTGGAAAAAGCAGGGACGTTTGATTTTTGCAATGTGGGGGAGGAAAAATCCCAGGCAGGTAAATGGTAAAACAGAGGGGAGACTGTGGAAGCCTCGACTTCCAGTCCTTTGTTCCACTGCGTGTCTCGCAAGCACTCATGGGGCAGCATGCCACCAGGTGCTGCCTACCCCTGTGGACAGGGAGGGCTGGGGGCTCAGGGGCATGGTTGTACAGGTGGAGAAATTAGGCCTGGATTGTAAATTCCTTGTGGACAAGGGCTATGAATATAAGTCATGGTAAATACTTCATGCTGATGGAGCCTATCCCACACACATTATCTGATTGGATTCTTTCATTATTTCAACAGATATTTTTTGAGTGCCTACTATGTGCCAGCCTGTGCTAGGCACTGGGGACACCAGTGGAAAACCCCGACGTGTTCCCTGCTCTCCTGGTGCTCATCACCCTGTGAGGTAGGCATTGACATTCCCTTAATTTTGAAATGGGCTTGGAGGGGAGTGGCTGCTCTAAGCTATTCCCTTAATAAGGTCCAGGGCCCATCCGGCCTGGCTTCAGTCCAGGTGGGACCCTAACTCTGCTCTGCTGACTACCTGACCATGTGTACAACAGTGTCCTCAACTGCATGGGAGGGTTCTGTTTTTAGACTATGTCTCTTCAGAGTACTTAAAGTGCAGGATTGAGGCCAGCTCTGTTTAGGCGGGGACTGCCAGCAACCCTCAGAAATCAGAAGCCATTCCTGGGTACCTGCTTTGGACTTAAATTCTACAAGTGCTTCCACATTGAACTCCAGGCAAAGAAGGGGCATGGGATTTGTGATTGCATATGAGGAGATGCTCTTGAATTTGAGCCCTAGCACTACTGGGGTTCCAAAGTGCATGATCATGCAGCTTGCAGCAGATTGGATAAATTGCTGAGCCTCTCTGAGCCTCAGCTTCAACGTCTGTGAAATGGGCATGTAATACCATCTAATAGGGCTGGTACAGTGGTAACGAGTGGTTAATATTTATCGAGGGCTTACTGTGAGTGGCACAGGGCAAGCATCTTATCATTTACTCCTCATAGCAATTTCAAGAGGGTACTTTCGTCATCCCCATGTTGCAAATAAGGAAATAAAGGTTTTGAGAAGCTAAACTAATTTGCTCAAGGTAGACAGCTAGTAAATGGCAGCACAGGACTCAAGCCCGTGTTCTTAACTGTGACTGGCAGCCCACGCCCCAAGCACAGAAGGAAAGAGCAGGAAATGTTTGCAATCCTCTCTTGTCAGCATATATTCCCTCTTCATGCTATGAGTACCTTTTGCCCAGATCTACACCATTAGGTCTGCTTAGGTTGGTTGTTTTAACCACAGCAAATATACACCATGTACAGGTCACACTGGGAATTTGATATTGGTATAAACTCAGGAAGTACCTTTTTGATATCACCTGTTCATTTATTTGTTCAGCCAGTGTTACTAGCACACCTACTGTGTGCCAGATAGTGCCTTGGAGCTTGCCACAGTCTCCGATGAGACAGATCCGTGGGGAAACAGACCACAGCGTTGTAAGCAGGATGCCCTAGTGAGGAATGTCCCAGGTGTGCTGGTAGCACGTGGGGAAGGGATCTCAGAGCCTCAGAGGGGAGGGATTGCAGCAAGCCTGGAAAGAGCTGTGTCCAGGCCATTGGGGATGAGACTGCACACCACGGGGACCCACATGCGGGTGGTGTGTCAGGGGAAGCCGGGCGTTTCGCTCTGCTGGAATGTCAGGTGCACTGGGGTGCGTGGTAGGGATGGGAAACAGGAGTCAGGTCCTGAATGGTTATGTGAGGATTGGCCCTCGGTCCCCCAATGTACTGGGGAGCTGGGAGACTGGGAGGCTGGCTGAGGTGTCATTATCACATTTGCATTTTGGTAAGAGTTCCTGGCGGCTGAGCAGAGACCCAGCTGGAGAGGGAAGGACCAGAGGGAGGGGAACCGAGAAGGCTGCTCTTGCAGAGGCTCCAGTGTTTTTGCTGACAAACACCCGGACCAGGGACGGTCTGTGGCAATGAGAGAAAGTCATGGTGTTTAGGGGGCACGGCTGCCAGGACTTGGTGACTGGTGAGATGTGGGGCTGTGAGGGAGGAGAATCTTGGGTGACTCAGCTTTTGGGCTTGGGTAACTAGTGGATTGTGGAAGGTGTAGAAGAAAAGATAGGAGGAGAAGCAGGCAGGGTGCAGGGGAGAGGCTCCCTTGTCTTCGTGACGAGGTGGGTCTAAAGTGCTGTGTGATGTCCGGGCGGAGATTTCAGGGGGCAGGGGGCAGTGCAGGTGTTGTGGGCTTGCAAAACCGATTGAAAACCATACCAAGCAGGTCCTAAGAAACCATGGTGGAGGTGAGTCTCCCCAGACAGGGGTAATGTCAGTGGGAAGAGGGTCTTGGTGTTATATCCCTAGGATAATTTTTTTTATCCTTAAATTATTAAAATATTTTTAATTAATAAAGGCTGCACAGTTAGGTCCAAAGACCAGATTCATCCAAACTTTAAAATGGAAATAAAACCTCATATTTCTTCTGCTCTTACAGGCAAACAGTTAAGCTATATAAGAAGAGCCAGGGGACCCAGGGACCTGCCAGCCCTGGCTTGGGCCCCTCACAGCCATGTGACCCTGAGCCAGGCTTTCTTGGGCTCAGCTTCCTCATCTGTAATAGGGCTGCTTCTGTGTGTTAAGCAAGATAAAGACTGTGGAAAGAATTTTGCAAACCTGTGGGCCTTACAAACATGTAATGTGATGGTTCTTTTTGTTCCTGTAAGGTTTGGGAGGAGATTATTTCTCATCACTGTGCCCAGGGTCACAGAGCTGAGGTCTGAGACCTCACTCACTGTTGGCCTTAGATGTGATCTCCAGGACCAGCCAGGCCTCAGGGCCACGAACAGTGGAAGTCGGGCCTGCATGAACCGAATGCAGTTCTGTCATCAAATAAAATTTACAGAGGCTGATCTGACACCTACTTAGCGGTCTGCATGATAATTATTGTGCAGCATGCTGATCAGGCATAAATGGAAGGCCTTTGACATAAATGATTATATTTAGTATTACTTTTATGTAGCCTAAACAGATTTTTACCGTTCTTTCCTCTTTGACACTTCATTCTTTTATCCATTCAACAAATATTTATTGAGGCGATAATATATGCTGGGCACTGTTCTGGGTCCTGAGGAGACAAACAACGTTTCTGTCCACTGTCCCTCCTCCATCAAGTTTGCATTCTAGTGGGGAGACGGAGAGTCATTGAGTAGTTGGTTTTGTCCATACTGAGTAAGAATGTCCAGCTTCCCTTGAGGCTGCGTTTGCTCTCATCTGTCCCTGTACCAACACCCACAAAGTGAAGGACAGCACTTCTGGACCTGATGTGCCAAGCTTCCATGCACAACCCTTTGCCCTTTATTTTCTTCTGACTCCCTATAGCAGGTGACTGCTTTAGGCCTTCCATTCATTGAACAGATGAGTACTGTGCACTCGCTGTGTATATGTAGTCTCTGGGCACACAGCATAAACTGGAAACAGTCCTTGACCTTAGGAAATTCAGGGGATCCCAGGTGTGGACACATAAATGCAGCAGCAACAAAGGGAAAGATGCAGCTCTTAGAGCCCCCATAGGCCGCTGTGATGGCACACGAAGAGGCGCTTGACCTGGCTGTGGCAGGGTCTGGGGAGGGGTACCCGCTTTGGGCACAGGGAAGAAGATGTGGGCAGGAAACTGCAAAGTGCTGGATGTGGCTGGAACACCGAGGGTGTGTAGGGAGGTGGGGATGTCATTAAACAAAAATTTTACTGAAGTATAACACACATAAGGAGAAGTGAATATAATCATAAGTATACAGCTCAGTGAGTTTTCACAAACTGAACACATTAGTGTAACCAGCACTTAGAAATGGGACATCACCAGCACCCCAAAAAGACCCGCCTGTCCCCTTCTAATTGTTATCCATCCATCCCCAAGGGTAACCACTAGCCGGACTTCTAACAGTGCCAAATAGTTTTGTCTGGGTTTGCACTTTTTATAGGTAGAATCAGACTGTATATACTCTTTGGTGCCTGGTTTCTTTGGCCCAGTGTATGTTGATCAAATTCATCCATATAGTTGCATGCAGTTGTTGATTATTCATTTTCATCTCCGTGTAACATTCCATTGTGTGAATATACCCTATATCTCTGCATTTTGCTGCTGACATCTGGATAGTCTCCAGTTTGGGGAAACCCAAAGAGCGCTGCTGGAACATTCTAATCCATCTTTGGTGAGCATACACATGCATTTCTATTGGATATATGCCTATTGTGGAGTTGCTGGGTCATCAGAATATGTGAAAACCAGTTTTCCAAAACAGTTATATCAATTTCCACTCCCACTGACACTGTATGAGAGTTCCAGTTGCTCCATATCCTTGCCAACATTTGATATGGTCTTTTTTTTTAAAGTCATGCTGGTGGGTGTATGGTGTTATCTTACTGTGGTTGAAAACTGCATTTTGCTGATGGCCAATGGAGCTGAGCACCTTTTCAGATGTTTATAGGCCTTTGGGTATAGTTGTTAGTGGACTGTCCGTTCTAGACTTTTGCTCATTTTTCTGTTGGTCTGTCTGCCTAGGGGGTGGGAGGTACTGTTCTCCCAATTAAGGGTGACCTGGGATTAGCATATTCAGGTGCTCACTAGCCCCACCTCACTCCAGTGATGGGGCAGAGCTGGCAATCTGCAGACTGTTCTGAGGGTATCGGAAAGGTCTCGAAGGGGACAATGCCTGAGCTGCCTGGAGGAGGCAGCCCCTCCAAGTTTCTGGCTTTGACATCAGAGGCCCACCGCCTTAGAGGGAGAAGGGCTGGCAGAAGAAGCCCGGGGAGGGGTTAGTTTTTAGCAGGAGGCAGGAGCATATGTGGAAACCAGCTGATGATGTGGGGTGTGAGCTTCTGCCCTCAGTATTTGCTGAGAATATAGCTCTCCCATCTGGGTCAGGGGACAACAGACGTTTGTGCAGCCCCTGCTTCAGCTGGCCCTGGGCATGGCAGCCTCCCCTGCATCATCTTCGTCTGCAGCTCGCCTCCACCAGGCAGGTGCTGTTTTGACAGTTTCCCTGTGAGGAAACTGCATTGACTGATGGAGAGAGGCCCTCACGGAGGCCATCCAGCTGGCAAGGGGAGGGGTGGACTCAAACCCAGCCCCTTCTGCACACGGCTCCCCAGCATGTAGCACTTGCCATGCCCTGGGGCAGTGACATGACCTTCCCACTCATTCTTCTGCTCACCTGTGGCCCCTGTTCTGCAAGAACAGGTGAAGGTTTACTCCCCAGTTAGAGATTTTTAAAAAGTGGAGCCCTATGAACCCTTCAACCACAGTTACACTTGCCTGCTCTGATTTGAGCAGGCAGATGGCATTAGAACTGGAGCCTTCTGTGAGCCCGGGCACAGGGAGGAAGGACAGAGGCCTACAGCTCTCCTGGGCCCTGCCAGCAGCCCCATGGAGGTATGGGCGGCCTTCTGCACCAGGCCCCCTGGGTGGCAGTTGCGTCCCTGGGCTGGTGGGTGGCTACCCACAGGGGCACCAGACTCACGTGCTCCCCCGCTCTCCCACAGAGTTATGTCATGCTCAGAACAGCAGAGGGCTCCATGAGGATTCATAGAAGATGCCCCGCCTCTTGGCGCCTTTGGTGCTGCTTCCGGCGTGGCTCATGATGGTCGCCTGCAGCCCCCACTCCCTGAGGATCGGTAAGTGATGCTCGAATGGCACCTTGAGGGGAGCCCAGCTCTGGGCGATGCCCCTCCCACACCACAGGTGCGCACAGGGGATGCTGACTCTGCACTATGCCCTCCCACAGTGTGGCTGGGCTGGGGGTGGTGGTGGTTGGGGCACCTGGGAGGCTCCCGGCTCCAATCTGGTCAACCTGCCCAGCTCTCCGTGTGATGGAAATAAAGATGCTGATGAGGCCCTGTTGCGGTTTGTGGCTGACTCAGCCTTGCACAATACGGAGCAGATGTTAGATAAAGAAGGAGGGTGGGAATGGCCATGGGGATTCCAAATCCAGGACTAGAGATCAGAGAAGAGATCACCTCTCCTCTCCTCTGATCAGTCCAAGAAGGCTTCCTGGCTGAAGCCAGGGCCGTGCTCAGTGACCCTGGCCCGGCTGCCTGGGCCCTCACCCTGGTGTCTGCTTGCTCTGGCCTGGTTCTAGAGAGGGAGGGCAGGTCACTTCAGGGTCCTGTGTTCTCTCTGCCTTGCTGCTGGGGATGCCTGCTCTCAGTGTGGGCAGGCAGTGCTGCCCCCTCCCCAGCAGCACCCCGTGCCTGGAGGGAGGCTTGGCTCCATCCGGGGTCTAGGAGTGTGTGGGAAATGAAGTGCCTCTTTCTCCCTATGGCTGAGCAAGGCTTCCAACTGCAGGCTGAGGCACTGCTGATCTGGGTCCAGGGGTCCCAGCCCCAGCCACAGGGACACAGAAACAGTCCAGTCCAGCAGACACCATATGTTCATTTGATGGCCCAGGACTGACACAGAGTGTTGGGGATTGGAGCATCTGTGTGTGTGGTGGAAGTGGGTCAGAATGGACGGATGGATGGGGTCTAGCAGTGAGCGAGAAATCCAAGCAGGTGGGCTGTGTGTTTCAGGGAGGTGGTCCAACAGCTGGACCCCCAGGGTAAGGCCAGGTAATAGGCCTAGAGGGTCTCAGATCCCAGGCAGGTTATCCCGACAGGTCCCCACCTGTGGCCTCTCTTCCCAGACTGGGATGGGGAAGAGGGAGAGTGGATACTGTCAACAAGCAGGAGCCTAGATCCTAGGCCCACACCTGAAAGGGTTAGAGGCTGACTTAGAGCAAAGACGGCCTGATGCTGAGTCCCAGGGAATTGGCTTAAAGCTCCTGAATTCCTTCAGTTGTGATGAGGACTCATCCTTAGACCCAGACGCTGGCATGCTGCTCATGGTCAGGAGGCCTGGAAGGGGCAGAGACAACCCAGAAGCTAAGACCCTGGCTAGGCCGGACATCACTGGCCAGAGGCTGAGCGGCAGGCCTCCGAGCTGTTCTGTGGGCATGTTTCTCCAGGCATATGCAGCAGCAGCTGATTGGAAACAGAAGTGGGGACAGGCGACTCTGTTCTCCCCCTCCCCCTGCCCTCAGCTCACTATTCTGCATGCTTAAAAAAAAAAAAAGGAATTAAGGACAAAATTTTCCCTCCCTTTCCTCCATTCATTTCTACCAAAACTTCAAAACATAATTTAATTCTGCTTAACAGCAATACAAAACGGTTCATATTCTTAAGATGCTTAATTTATAAGGAGCCTACAGTTATTCTGCGCTTGCTGTGAGGTTTTCCCTCCCTCTAAATGAATGGATAAAGTGGTAACCCATCAATTCCCATTTGTTGCTAATGGGAAGCGGAAAGGGATTGAGTCAGAATCAGCAGCGCCTCACTGCCTCAGCTCAGCTCGCCTGACACTTAGGAAGCAGAAAGTGCAGCTGACAGATTCCCCTCTTGGCGGCTACGCTGACCACAGAGGGCTTCAAAGGGGCCCCTCACGCTCCCATAGCCGCGTGCTGAGCATTATTTGTCCAGTTCTGTCAGGGTTCTGCTCCCTTCAATTTCGGTTCATGCCAGGGGGCCCTGCTGGCTGGCAAGGTCAAATCGGGGCCTGATCTGCAGAGGCAGGAAACAGAGTTAAGCCCACAAAGAGGAAGAAAAGAAAAGGGAAATCAAACCCGGGACGCCAGGACCCATTTTCCTGTCTCCTTGTTTATCCTGGGAGCCAGGAGCTTTCAAAAAGTCTCCTGATCCTTATGGATAGAAAGGTACTAATCACATGGACTCCAGAGGGAATGTGGAGTAGGGCAGGCATGGGAAGAGAAGTAGGTCAAGAAAACCCAAGTAGCCGGGTTTAGCAGCAGGCAGCCTTGCACACAGATGGGCTGGGCCAGCGCTGATGGTGTTAGGGGCTCCCGGGGCCACCGGAGGCTCACGGGAAAGGGCAGGGTGCTGTTCCTCCCCACATTTGTTTTTTTTCTGGGGCTACTCCCAGCTCCCCAGCCTCAGAATAGATGGCTGTGGGAGCGAGGCTGCAGGAAGGGACCAGGAGTCTCAGAGATAAATTGCCCTGCCTGCTCCATCCTCAGCTCCTCCTGTCTGCTGGTGACAATATGGATGTTTGTAAAGAGGCGGCTGAGCCCATTACCTTACCTTGGGATTGCTGTTTTTCATTCAAGTGAGGCAGAGGGTAGGATATACAGCCAAATTGTCTATTACCGTGGCCAGTGTTTACCCCCTGAATGAGGTTTTGGGTAAGAGAAAGAGATTTTATTTATGACCGTGAGGCTGCCCACATAAATTCCCCAAACACGCACGCGTATGTCAGCCCCCTTCAGTCATCTATCTTCCGGAAATGTCTTTTGATTTTGTTTCTGTCCCTCCGGGTCCTCTGAGTGATGACTGTGGGAGCCACATGTTAATAAATGCTCTGGGAAGACCCCACCCCATCTCTACACCTTCTGTGACTTGAAGCCATGCAGAAGCCTAAGGAGCCCAATTTCCAGCCTGCTCATTTCACCAATGAGGAAGGAGACCCAAAGGCAGCAATGATTTGGCCAAGATCGCACAGCAGGCAGGGGCCAGACCCGTGGCAGTCAGCACGAGAGCCCCATCTCCTTGATGCCTCTGCCCGTGTTCTCTTGGCAGCGGGCTCCCTTAGCCACTGGGGAGACAGAATCACCTCTGACAGGGTGTGCAGGGCGTCTTCTCGGTTTTCTCCCTTACTGTTTCTGGACACTAGCAGAGGTTACCCTTGCCCCAAACACACGAGGTCCCCAGTAAGTATTTGTCAGTGAAATGAATGCTGGGCATTCCAGCCTACTGCTAGTTACTCCTTCCCTGGCCCCTTGTTTCAGCCACACTGGATGACTTCCTGGTGCCTAAATATACCAGGAAGGCTTGCTCTAGGTTCTTGCACTTCCTCCCATTCCGTCTTCACTGCCTGGAAAACTACCACCACCAGACCCCATCCTCCTCCTCTGTCACCACCATCACTGGCTTTAGTAGCTCTTCCTCTGGAAAGTCCTTTCCCAGTATTATCCTGTCCCTCCCAGGGAGAAATCACCTTTTCCCCACCTTTCTGCCATTCCCCTTGTACTTGAGCCTATTTTAGTGCTTACTGGGTTGTGTTCCAATTATTATGGCATTTTCCCACTAGACTCTGAACTCCAGAGGAGATGACCACCTGCCAGCTTCGGGTAGAAAGTACCACTCATACTCAGTGAATGGTGGGTAGCTGCATCCATGGCCCTTACAAGAACATGTTGGGTATTATTGTTTTCTTCTGGTCTTACCTGTGCTTAAAAAGGTAGACTTTTTGGAGGAAGTAGAGGACAAAGGAGAAACAGGAGAAGGAGAAAAGGTCCATCTGTCTGTCTTACTTAGAAGAGAGGATAGGAACAGGCTGCTGACTCTGACTAGATTCTAATGAGAGTTTTGATGTAGCAGAAATACAGTGATTCAATTCACAAATTCACTCCACAAGCATTTATTGAGTGCTGTGTGCCATGCACTGGATATGGTGCTGAACAATGACAATCTCCAAAATAACTCCCACTTGGAAAGGCCTTACTCTCTGCCAGGCACTGTGTTATATATTTCACATACTTCAGGTCATCTTCAGTCAGAATTAATGATCCGAAGTCATAAGTGAAGAGATGGAGACTCCACGAATTTAAATACCTCATCTAAGGTCACACAGATACCGAAATTCGACCCTGTCTCCAAAGCTATCTTTTCCTGCTTTGCTCTAATCGCAGCTCATGCACCCCTGGAGATGTTTGGGATATCCCATTTTTACAGCAGTCACATTAAACAATGCTGTGTTCTGTCTGGTAGAGGAATTGAAAGATGGAAGCCTCATAGCTTATTCTCTTGCTGGTCTTTGGTTCTCTGACCTCCAAACAGTTTCCTAAGAGCACAGACAAGTCCATCCGATGGATGGGGGAACTGAGGCCTGGGGGTCTGAGAGGCTTACTCGTTGGTGGTACAGGAGTCCTGATCAGCCCTGGGTGGCACTAGACACACCAGCAGGTTATTGTAGCACAGCAATTCCTTTCTTGTTTAAGGTTTGCCCACGTGAAGCAGAATTTCCTTGGATTTATTTGGCACTCCGCCTGACTAGGACACCCAGGCACTTTACGACTGCCATGTTTTACCTCATTGGTTTCTGACAATGAGTGCCAAGTCCTGTAGAGAGGATGTTAAACATAGAACATTCAGGTGTTATAAAGGTGAAGATAATAAGATAACTGGGCAGGTAAGAAGGAAGGAAGAATAAAAAACCACTAGCTTCTTCCCCTCTTCTGCTGTATATTAAGTATGTCTGACACACCCAGATGCGAGTATACCAAGTGGATTCTGTGTCTTGCTGCAGATTCACTGTGGGGTTTTTTGAGTATAGGCTCCCTCCCCTTAAAAAATGGGGTGGTGATCTGATTTATGAAATTCTGATTAGCATGTAACTTTTCATCTCTCTCCTAAATTGAGTCACCCATATAGGCAATCAACTGGTCTTTCACATTAGTGACAAATAGGAATTGATGACTTTCTCCTTCATCTGTCATCTAGAGAGGGAATATAGAAAGATCTCGGAGATGCAGATCTCTTGCCCTTGGTGAACACCTTAGAGAGTCTGTAACTTTCTTATTATATCTGTCTTCCAGGGCCTAGCACAGTGCCTGGCCCATAGCAGG